TCCATTGGTGAGCAAGTGATGTAATGCTACATTTCCAATGAAGAAAAACTCATCTACATTTTGGAAGGCCTGAGGGCAAGTACATTTTTCAGCAAATTTTCATTTTGAGGTGAACCATTCCTTTAAGCAAACTTACCATCTAAAGTTCTGACTGTGGCCAAAGCAAACGTCTCTTCCTTCTCATTCTCGTCTCCGATCTCTTCCCACGCTGCACCAAAGTTTGGTTTTAACACCTTCTGTATGTGGTCAGCGACTGTCACCTCTAAATCTTCCAGCTGGGAGAGAAACAAGACATTGAGTGAAGAATGGCCACTGATAAACTCCCCATTTTCATCAGTATGAACTGATTTTGAAAATTCACATACCACATATTCATCATCATAACCGTCATCATCAGGCTCTCCCGTGTTGGGATCACAGTCCCGGACCAGATATTTCATTGTACAGCTGAACGTGCAAGACACTAAAACAAATGCAAACAACAAAAATCATTATGGGAAACAACATCTATTTGTTGTTCAAATCTGCCCAAGCTAGAAAACTTGACATCACAATGTGAATCAATCATTTCAGACCTGCTGTGGGGTCATCCTCTGGTAACCGGACCAGACTGTAGCAGGAGCCGGGTTGGCTGTAGGGGAGACTTGGTGCAGGTACGTAATGTAGCACCTCGTATGCCTCCGACGGCTCCATCTGGACCAAAACCCGCTGCAGCAGCTGGTCGTTTAGCGTGTTGGTGCAGTCGAACTGGAAGATCATGTGATTTGCGAAAGTGTGTTTGATACAGCGCACCACATACTCCGTCTCTGCTTCTGTTAACTGAACCGGCTCGGACGACTTGAACAGGAGACCCAGGCCCTGGAATTCTGAGATGGCTGCAAGTTGCTCTGATGGAGAAAAATAAGGGGACTAGTTGAAATGTGGCACAGTTTACTTCAGACTCTAGTTTAACAGTGCCCACATGCATTGTTTTGCTAATTAGCTAATCTTCTCACCTTGGTAAATGTCTTGGCGGGAAGGTGCAAGCTTTTCAGGTAGTTTGCTTGTTGCCACAGGTGTGATTTCTGGCATGAAAGAGAAAAATGAAGTGAACTTGTGCAATTTGAGCAGTTTTGGTTAAGCTCTGCGATTTACACCAAACCAAGATAAGACATAAGATG